TAAATAAATAAAGCACCCTATTTTTTTTTACTATTATTTTTTACTTTATAATATTTAAAATGGTGGTGATGTAACTTACTCTTAAAATTTTTTATATAAATTTTGGGTTATATTCGAATAAAATTTTTAAAAAAAAAGTCACTACTAACTATTTAACATTTTAAAAAATCTTAAATTTTATTCAAAACTTCAAACAATAAGATTATATAATAATAAGTTTGGCCTACTTTGAAATATAAATAATTAAAAAAAAAATGAAAATTTTCATTTTGAGTACCTAATTATTAACAAATTCTACAATTTACTTCTCGCTAAATTACAATTTAAATTTAAAAAAAAATAAAATAAATAACTTGCGACATGGATAATTTAGATATTTTCAATTTTGCAAACTAAAAATTCAAATTTTGATGAAATACAATCTGAACTAAACTAATGCATCAGCACATCACAACACAAACTGTTAAAAAAACCCAGACTTTACCTATTTATTTAGATGAGAAATACAGCCAAAAAAAACTCTCCCCACAAAATTTTTCCCTTAGGCATATATCTCATCAAAGGTCCTTCAGTTTGCAAACGTAAATGAAATTAAGCATACAACCTTTGCCCAATCGTACAGAAACACAAAGTGCGACCTTTGGCTCAATACTATAATTCGAAAACCTCAACAATCATTGACGATATAAACGGAAGAACGAAGTCCACTCAGTTCAGTGTATGGCCTCTCAGACGTCTCGTATTCCGGTTGTCCGCATTTGATACCCGCAAAAAATCCCACCAACAATATTTTGATCGCACAAAGTCCAGTTCGGGAGAACTCACGTTATCTTGAAGAGCTTTTTCAGTTTAAACAATAGCCTTTTCTCTTCAGTAGACAAATCATCCTGTACGTATTTCGATTCAATTGGAAGGACTTAGTTACTTTTCCATCAAACGACGTGGTGAATGGAGTAATGAGAAATAGTTTCAGTGAGAGGAAAGTGTCTAGTGATCTTCCGAAAAGCTCGTATATAAATCAATAAATACATGTTTCGATTTCTGACCGGTAATATGAGAAACAAATATAAAACACACCTTTCGCAATTGGGCGAAATATCACAGGGGGGTGGTTTTCAAATTATGTATTTATGTTGTATGGCGAGCAATGAGATGCAGGAACTATAAATAGACAACAAACCTTGTAATTTTCTTTAAGAGCGTCAAGTGAGCTTCTACTGATTTTGCTCACAAGCTCATCCTCCATCTCGAAATGCCTGCCAAACATCTTCTGCTGTTCCTCAGGATTGCTGCCAATAATCTGTGAGGAAATATAGCACATTTATGTCAAAAAAGAGAAAACGCAACAAAGAAAAGTAATAATGAAATGAGCCATATCATTCTGTAATGTGCTCTTACAAACGTATAAATTGATGACCGACACAACTGATATCATAGCTTTAAAGACCCAGTCTTCAAAATTTCACTATTCACACTGTTAAATTGACGACTCACCCTAAATCAAAGCTGTAACATAAAATGATGTTTTTATCCCGTGCTTTGATATTCTAAACAGTAAGAAGAAGATAGAATTGAGCAAGTTCTCCAAGGTCCAGTAGAAAATTATCTTAACATGAGGAATCCACTGTCCGTGGTTGCACATGGAAAGATGGAGTCGACAGATGTTCTCATTCATCTAAGAAGAGTAAACTATGTTGGAAAATCTTTTCTGAGATTGTAAAAGTAACTCATTGGCATTTAATTCAACGTATCTCCAACAGTATAAAGAACAAGCAGTTTGGCAACCAAGCAACCCAAAACATGTCATATACGTACCTTAATGGCCACCTTCTGGCCCTTCTTGGCATAATCAACAGGCTTGTGATTATTCTCAATGGAAGCTATCCGACCAATTTCAATGAAATCTTTCTGAGGAACACATATAGGAGTCCCAACCTGTACGATGTGTTAAAAAGCAACAGTTCAATAGAAAGTAAACTTGTACCTGATAGCAAAGGCCGGAAAGAACAAAAATTGTGAGAATAAAATATATGGAAAATTGTTAGATGGATAGAGGCAAGAAGTAGAAATTCTATACTCCTCAAATATCAATCAAAAATACAAATATGCCCACACAAGCCATGAACATGGTAACATAAGCATCGTTGTGAACATGGTTTTTATGACTCCACATATAACCATAAGAAACACTTATGTCACCACCTAATATTCAACATTACACAATGTCAACAGTTATATCACTTACCTAAAAAAAGAAAACTTGAATTTGGTTTTGGGTGTTTTGATTACGTACTCTTGAGAAATATTAGAAACTACACTGTACCAATGCAGTGGAGGATATGATGCAAATTAGTTTTGTTTTTGGAAATGAAGCCATACAAAGTGAATCCAAACATATGCAACTTGTGATGCCAACCACCAATAATTATATCCACTGTGAAAACCATGCGAAGGACATCCATGTACAGAGATTAAGAAAACATATTACCTTCACTGTGCCTTCAAGGACATCAACTCCCAAGACAATGGGATCCTTCTTGTTGAACACACAGTTTGGCATTATCTTCAGGACACACGGAAAAACTGCTTCCTCAGAAGCCTCCTTCTTCCTCTCTTCCTTGAGATTATCAATGTAAGCCTTAAATTGATCGAATAGGTGGTAAATAATGTCCGCAATAAATATCTTTACACCAAGCTCATCAGCGAGCTCCCGAGCTTCTTGGGTTACTTTAACATCAAAAGCCAATATTGTCCCATATTCCTTTTTCTTCTCAAGCATCACACTCGCCTTCATTACATCTTTCTTGTGTACTGGCCCTATGCTTATGCCACTGACAGGTATATTAACTGCCGGAGTCTTCAAGAACTCCAGCAATGCTTCTAACGACCCAAGAGTAGACGCTTGAACATAGACTCCCTCACCACTTTTGTCAATTCTACTCATTACTGACTTCATATCTTCCATAGCTGCTTCTTTGATGTCTTCCAAATCATCATGTGGCCCCACAACATAAAGACTGGTCCCTGCAATTGTATGCTCAAGGCCCTACAAACATAAGAAAAACACAGGCACCAGCTCATACACTGAAGCAAAATTACCAGACGAGACAACTGAAAAAACAATGTTATAAATCCTAATGAAATAATACAATTTCTTAGTAGAAACAATGGCATCAACACAATTCACAACGGAAACAAAAATTTCACAAAAGTCCTAATACTGAACACTTCTATGAGGTCTATAAAATGTGCTGGAAACAGTTCCAAATAGTATTGAAATTTCATTCCTGAACAAGACATTTTTCTGTTAAATTATCGTATACATGCAGTCAATCGTACATAACTATCAAGGGCAACCAATTATAGCATGGTGGCAGTGTGTTATCTTGCCGTTTATTTAGTAATTAACAATATCATGTGATCATGTCTACATTGGTAATATTAAGGTCATGCCTTAGTAAGGACAATAAATGCATAATCAACGGCAAAGGGTCACCTGGGCTGTGATCTTGATACCCTGAGCAGCCTTGATTTCTTTATGATGCAAATAAGACCCCTGAAACATGATAACGGCAAAAGCATGAGGCATTACACAGAAAGAATGTAAGTCTTCATAAGAGTAATTTAATGAGATTAATTCCAGAAGTATGTTATAGTTTGCATCACAACAGGATGAAAAGTTGCAAATAAAATGATTTAAATATCCATATCAAAGCATTTTTCAAAATCAACTATCTTTGTTAACCATTGGTTTCCAGCAAGACGAACACGATAGGTCAAAATCAAATTCAACACTTCCAAAGCTTCTATCCAATGTTCCTAAAATCCCTATAACAGAAAAAACGGGGCTCCAGAAATCTTAGCAAGTGTTCACAGTAACCTCCAATCACCCACCCTTCACTACCAGCAAAGGAAGGGAGGGAACGAGAGGGAGACTCCTTTCTAATAACTCGTGTCTAAATCCAAGTAATTACATTAATAAAATTACAAACAGGAATACTCGATCAAAAGAAACACATATTAGCGGAAAATACATACATGGATGACCAAAACTATTAGTATGATCTTAATGTTTTACCTTGACTCGGAGCTCCTTCATCGGATGTGGTGTTAATAAGGCTCTAATTGTGGTCACAATTGGTCCCTATAAGAGATTTAAAGAAGGATGAGTGTGATCATCGTCTTTTCACAAATAAAAAATAAAAATGAGTCGTATAAAACATGCCTGCAAGCCACAAACAACTATTTGATCTCCTTCATGAAGCACGCCATTCACCAGAACCACATCAATTGTTGTCCCATGTCCTTCAATAACTTTGACCTCCAAGACAGTACACTGCAACAGAAACAATTGTAAATCAGCAAATATATCTCACAGGGTTGCCTCCCTCACAATCTCACTACTAATGAGCTAATAGGGCAGCATACCTGCACTTCACTACTGTATGTAAGTCTATCAATCATTGTCTTCGGTGCCCACTGAATCAGCAGCAACAGCAAGTCAGGGACACCTTCACCACTGTTGGCCATAATTAGCAAAATGTGAGAAGTATTGGGGGACTTTTAAAGAACTTAAGAGAACAGAAACAGGAAACAGCAAATAAAAAGTTGTCTAAAGCAGTGCTTCGTCAACAAAACCTTATTGCACTAGTGGGGACGATGTTGACTGTTTCGTCCATTTTTTTCCTCTTGTAATACAACTCAGTATTTAGACCTTGAATCTGCAACTGATCTTTAACCTATGAAAAGCAGAACACTTCCATCAAATAAATTTCAACTATACAAGCTAATATTCAAGTCCGAGGAAAAAAAAAAAAATGATACCGCCTTAAGCCGATGAGTAAACTCAATTTTAACATCGCTTGTCTGTTGCTCCATTGCTTTCTGTATCGGTGCATTGCGGCATGTTTTCCATCCATACAATCTGTCCACCTGCAAGTCAGAAAGGTAAACCAAAATTACATTATCAGAAAAGGATTGCCATGAACGCAACAGATGGCTCCATGGTACTTACTTTATTCAAGGCTATTATGAAATCAGTATTTCTCATCTTCAATAGATTGAGAGATTCAATGGTTTGTGGTTCCAGCCCATGCATTATATCAACCACCAAAATCGCAAGATCACATAACCCTGACCCTCGAGAACGCAGATTAGTAAAAGATTCATGACCAGGTGTATCAATCACCAATAGACCTGGGACATTCAGTCTTGCATCAGCTTTGAGTTCCTTCGTTCTCTCACGAATGTTCTCAGCAGGGAAATAGGTTGCTCCAATTTGCTGTGTAATCCCACCAGCTTCACCTTCTTGGACATTGGTACCTCTTATGCAATCAAGCAATTTTGTCTTACCAGTATCAACATGGCCCATGATACAGCAAATTGGAGACCGCAAATTCTGCTCACCCTGGGCAGGCTGATTATCTGACTTTTGACGTTCCTCTCTCTTGTCAAGAACTTCTTTTTTGTCCTTCTTCTCAGGAACAGAAACCTTATTATTGTTCCTGTGGGCATCCTCAGCCTCAGAGTTCTTTTTTCGAATGTCCACATTCTCAGTCATACCAACTGTCTTGGCTGCAACGTGCGGTACCTCAACATCTCGAGTTGAAGGACGCGCACTCTTTATCTCTTTCTTGGGCAAAGGTTCAGGCTCCGAGTCAACTTCTTCATCAGCGAATGCACTTTTTCCTGGCAATTTCAGATCAGCATCATCCCAGCTTTTAGCATCCCATTCTTCGTCATCATCTTCTTCTTCCTCTTCATCCACTACATTCTCTTGAACTACATCAGGACCATAATTTTTATCCTTTACAGTCGCTGAAGCAACATCCTCGACATTCTCGCTTTCCACGGAATCCAGCCTGGAGACAGTTTCTTGCTGATTATCCTCTGGAACTGCACTTTCAACACTGTCTAATGTGGCTGCTCCATTCGATTGAGCTACTGGCTTTTGCTTTTTCTTCTGATATAGAGGTCGTTTGGCAGGTGCCCCAACAGTTTCTCCCGTGGATATTTGCAAGTTAGCATTAGCTAGAATTTGCTTCCTCATTGCCTCTAGCCTACGAGCTTCTTCCTTCTGCTTCCCAGTGAGAAGCTTTCCTTCTTGCTTTTTCTTCAAAAGCTTCTCCTTCTCTCTTTCTTTCTTTAAGCGCTTTTTCTCTTCTGCTATCCTTTCCTCCTCTTCCTTCCGAAGCCTTTCCTCCTCTTCTTTCCTCAATCGCTCCTCTTCTTCCCGTTTTTTCTTCTCCTCAGCTTCCCTCTGTTTGGCAAGTCGCTCCTGCATCTCTCTAACATGCTTGGGAACTTTCTTCCCAGCCAATTTACTCTCCTCGGCTTTGGTCTCTTTCTGTTTTTCCTCGACTGCAGCGGCAGCAGCTGCTGCCTTTTTCTCCTTTTCTTTTTCCTTCTTCTTTTTTTTCTTCTTTGCAGCTGCAGACTCTGCAGGCCCATCTTCTTCTTTTTCATCTTCGACCTCGGGCTGGTTCTGTACCTTGTCTTCCGGGGGAGGTGCAGTTGGAGCATCCACAGAAGCTGAAACATGTTTCGACTCAGGAGGTCCCGCACCAAATTCAGTGAGGATTTTATCCCAGTCATCTTCTTCTTGACCAGTTTTACCACCCTTCTTTTTCTTCTTTTTGTTCTTCGAAGTATCCGCAACAGCTTCATTTGTCTGCTTCTGTGTATTAGGTTCATCAGGGTGTTGGCTCGGTTCAAGGGAATCAGAGGTTGCATCACCACTCCCATTTTCAAAAGTCACGTTCTTCTTTTTAGACGACTTCTTCTTACCCGAAAATTTAACTACCGAAACATCTTGCTCCTGGTCATCATCATCACCTTCTGCCGTATCATCCCTAATTTTTGAAACGGAAGCATCCTCATCATTTTCTTCATCAAGCACAGCTGCAAAAGAGTTTCCAGAAACCTTCTTCAAACCCTTTGATGACTTCTTCTTCTTCTTACCCGTAAATGTAATACCGACATCCTCTTCTTCCTCCTTAGAACTCTCCTCTTTGTCCCTACTCTCTTCATCCTCATCATGGTCGAGCAATTCAAACGCAGACGACCCACCGCCACTGCCCTTCTTACTCTTTGAAGGCTTCTTCTTTCCAGAAAATTCAATCACCGGCTCATCTGCTTCCTCATCCTCGTCACCATTATCCTTCGCCTCATCATCATCCCCATCTTCATCGTCTCCCAATAATCCAAATGACGAAGCACTAAACACGCTGTTAGCTCCTCCCTTCTTCCCCTTAGCCTTCTTTTTCCCAGCAAACTTGATCGCAGGAACATCTTCCTCATCCGCTTCCTCTTCCCTGACCTCATTATCGTCCACATCTTCATCCTCGTCTTTGGGAGCTGTTTTCTTGGTAACCCCTTTCTTTCCCTTCTTTTTGTTGCCAGCAGGCAGCGCCACACTCTCTTTGGGTACAACAGCATCCTCCGAGATTTCAGTACCAATAGAATACTCATCATCAGCAATTACAAAACCTTTCTTCTTCGATTTACCTCCTGCAGCTGCCACCGCCGGGCCGCTCTCATCGTCACGGGCGGTTGGCTTCTTTCTCCCCATCAGATTATCCTTCACGTTATTTCGACTGATAAATTGACTCCCACTGTTCCCAAAAAAAAAAAAAATAATCCTGCAAAAATCACAGCAGAAAGCTAAAACAAATACGAATGAATTTTCTCTGTTCTTTGCCAAAATAAACTAAAACGAATTGGCAAACAAATATCAACCATCACACATGAAACACAAAGGTAATCGTCAGATGAGACTCACCTCTAACAATCGGACGAGAGACGATAAACAAGAAACTGTGGAGAGGAGTGTACGTCTGTATAATGGTGAGTCTACGATCTGGAGAGAGAGAGAGAGAGAGAGAGAGAGAGTTGGATTTCTGTAAGTAGGGTTGGGAAGACGAAAGAAAGAAGGGATATTGGATACAAATCGGGTCGGGTTATGTAGTAGATTGGATAAGTTTGCAAAATCAAGTAGGGGTGTTCACGGTGTCCGGTTTTGGCCCAAACCATAACCAAACCGAACTTAACGGTTAATTTTTTTTTTTTTTTACCTATAGTCGGGCCGGTTTTATTTTTTAATCGGCTACAATCCGGACCGTATTGGACGGTCCGGTTTGGCGGTTAACCGATTAAATCCAAAATCCTTGTTTTGGGCCGTCAATTTTTATTTTTCTCATTTTGGATTAATTTTTATTTTTCAATTTTGGGCCCAAAAGATATTATTTGAGCCTAAAAATTAAAAAAAAACAACAATAATGAAATAAAAAATACACAATTCATCCCATAAGCATAAAAATTAGGAAGAGGAGGTGGGAAAATCTGAGAATGAAAAAACGAAAGTGGGAAAAAGTGAAAAGTATAGTGTCTTACAAAATTAAGTCAACAAAAGGCCAAAAAGTGAAAGTGAATATATTGTATTTGTCGGTCATAGTTAATGACTTAATGTATATGTATATTTGTTATAGTTTTTTAATATTTACCGGTTCGGTCCGGTTTAACCGGCAGTTTGCCGCAGGTAATCCGTTAACCAGACCGGTTATTCCGAATTTTTTAAAAAATTAACCACCGGAATTTTTAAGGTTTTTTTAGCCGGCCATTTAGCCGATTTGCGGTCCAGATTGACGGTTTTTTCGGTTAAAACTGAACCGTGAACACCCCAACACTCAAGTGTCATGAACAACAATCTCATTAAATAATATTCATAAATTAAAAAAAAAAAATATAGAATGAATATATAATACAATTTCACTATATTAATTTATTAAAAATATTACATGAAATTTAAATTGTGCAAAATTACATAAACCATGTTTTTCAAAAATTAGTACATGTCATTTAAAAATTTTTATTTAGAACACCGATTTGACTATAATGTGATTCCATCATATAATTATTTTGGTATAATGTTATAATATATTTTAAAATTTATGTGAATAATAAGTATAATTATAAAATTTATATTGTTTCATTAATTCATTTGAATTTTCGTATAAAGTATGACAATCAAAATTTTAAGAAATTGAGTAATTTATTAAACTATAAATAATTGATTATTCTATTTACGTCAAAGTTAATATTGACCCGTATGTTATTAATAAGATTCTTGCACCTTGAGCTTCAGCTCGTTCATCGAGCTCTCACCTATAGATCACACCTTAACCCTAGCTCATTAGTTTGAGTTTTATTCCACACCTCAAGCTCTAGCTCTCGCATCTGAATCACATGCACCTTGAACTCACTCATTGAGCTCTTTCTTACACATTAAGCTTAGTTCTAACTTCTAGCACACATCTCGAGCTCTAACTCATTTGTTGAGTTGTATATCTCTGCTAAATGAATTATCGACATAACTCAAATGAGTATATACTACGCCATAACAAAGAGTAAGGGACATACATTTACTAGCATTGGGTTGCCATCATTCAAATATGTCTACAGTTATAGTGAACCCTGAACTCGCGAAAAATCCAAAAAATGCCTATTTGTTCTAGGTAGATAAAAAGTTGCACTAAAAACTGCAACATATTATTCGATGTCGTTTTCATGTCAGCCAAGCGCAAAGTTTAATGAAGGTCATGTCTTTTGCCGATGAGTTGCATTTCGAGTAGAAGACGGAGTGGTTATCTAGCCTCAGACGTCACTAGTTTGCTGCCCATTTCCCTCCGTACCATTATGGAACAAGAGTCGGGAAAGATATGCACATCCTTGTGAATGAAAAAAAAAAGCGATCTACTTAGATTTTGTATTTTAGCTTGAATTCCTTGCCTCTTGATACTCAATCAAATCCTCTTTTTGGACGATTGAATGCATTTCTAGAATCTTGTATTTCGTTATGCTCGGATTCTTTCTTTTGTATCGAGATTTATTAAAATACGCAACAATATTGTTTCCACGAAAAATGCCATTGGTGGGCAGGGGCGGATCTAAGAAAAACAATTGGGAGGGGCTAAAACAATTATTGGAATCGGATTGTGTTTGTTCAAAAGTTTGGCCTCATATCATTATATAAAATGAGCCAAACTAGAATGACAATTCAAACTTTTTTATTAAACAAATCGAGTAGAGTGACGCTTACACAAGCGGAGTTTGAGCTCATTTTTTGTTTATTTATTCAATAGTCAAGCTAATCCGACTTATTTATTAAGCTCTCATAAGTTAAACATGAGTTATTCAACTTGACTTGACACGTATAACATATTGAGGGGATTATATAATTTTTAATATATCACTCTCTCTCACATACACATATATAGGCGTATAATTGCATTTTAAAATTGTTAAATTAATTAGTAAGTTGCACTACAAAAGACATAACTTCTTAATTTTGGCAATTTAAATATTCAACATTCTTTACACTGATGAAACTCGTTGATGATTGGCTCTATATTAATACAAATGCTATAATTGGTAAGCTATCTAACTGTTAGACATATATATTCTTCTGCAAAATATGTATTATTATACTATAAAATGCCATATTTTTGTTTGTATTGCACTGTAAAGCATGCCATTTAAGTATGAGGTATAAATATATTTGTTGGGAGAGTGTAGTTGTTTAATTATTAAATAACCAAGAGAAGGCCTACCGCGGTATTAATAGTTCTAGCAATTATATTTCAAACCATTGAATTGCATATGTTGAATTTTCTTCTATTCCAAATGTACTCTTTTCAATTGTACATAATTAGATCAAACACGAAAATAACATAAAACAATGTTAATAGGATACTTAAAAAATTTTGATGAAGTTAAATCTAATTAAAAAAAAAGACTTATACAATAATTTGTGATATTTATGGGAACGAATATGAATTGAATAGGTTTTATATAAATTTAATTGGAATGCATATAAATTGAGTAGGTTTTATATAAGTTTAATATATATATATATATATATATATATATATTAGAAAAAATA